TTGTTATTCTTACACTTGTGATAAGGATTAGGAATTGTGAAATGAGCGTCATTGGAAATTTGTTCAATTGATCTGTTTCACAAACTAAGGACCGTAGGTAAATATAGTGTGCATGCTTGGAGCATGGGACAACTATTGTTATAATTCAAGTATTAAGTTGATTATCTGAAACATTATACAATGAATAATGTGTAATCGTTATGGTGATTAAATAAAAGGTGTTTTATTTATACTCAAAGGTTTGAGGCCATATTGGATTCGATTATTCTTGTGTTTCACTTCGTATGTTTTGAGTTCCCGAATAACTAGGGGTGCGTTTAGTTGCGGAAAAATGGGCCGTTTTCCGGAAAAATTTTCCAAGAAAAATGAGAATTTTGAAAACGCGTTTGGTTTGTCTATTTTTCTAAATTTTTCACGGAAAATGAAAATTTTCCGTTTTCTAAAATTACAAAGAAGTTGAAAATTTTTGGAAAACCGATAATCATTGTTTTCCACATTTTTCTAATTCCAAAATTTTTCTAAAATATAAACACCCACTCCCACCCCATCCACATCTACCTACCCTCACCTTAATACCCCCAACCCACCACACCCCTACCTACTTACACTCACTCCCAATCCCACCCTCACCCCCACAAACACAAACACAAACACACACACACACACACACCAACCCCTACAAACACACACACACACACACCAACCCCCACAAACACACACACACACACCAACCCCCACAAACACACACACACACACCAACCCCCACCCACACCCCCACAAACACATACCCACATACACACACACACCAACCCACACAAACACACACGCCAACCCCCACCCACAAACTCACACCCACACCCACCCCCACCCCATGCACACACACAGACACCCAACACCACTACCACAATCACCAACCTACTATCACCATCACCACCACCACTACCCCATCACCACCACCACTACCCCATCACCACCACTGTCACAATTGCCTCCACCACCACCACCGCCACCACCCCGCTGCCACCGCCACCACCATTGTCGCCATCATCGAAACCACAACTGCCCTCCGATGCTGCCCCCACCACCGCCACCGTCCCCACATTCACCCTACCACCGCTACCGTTTTCTAAAAATGAAAACCGACAGAAAAATACATATCTAAACACGTTTTCTAATTTTCTAAAACTAAAAATGAAAAATGAATAAGTTTTAACTAAACGCGTTTTCTAAATTTTCCAATGAAAACGGAAAACAAAAACTGAAAAGGGAAAACGAAAAACAGAAAATAAAAACTGTTTTTCCGTAACTAAATGCAACCTAGGTTATTCAAACATCCATAATCAATCATACTTTGGAAGTAGGTAATGAGGTCAGAGTGTCATGAATCTGACTGTAGATTGTCTAAGTGTTTAGGCGTAGCAAAGGTCTGTTGCAGTGTTCATGAGTGCTCCTGAAATAAGATTTGAGTATTAGATTAAACCAACGCTCACGTGAATCACTTCATGGATTTTATCACGAGTGATTGTTAGACGGTAATATCTTATATTCTTGAAACGGAGACATGTGAGTTGTAGTTTGCAAGTCGGTTGCATATTGACATATGTAAACGCACCAGTAACTTGGTGTTATAAAACATATTGTTGTGTGTGATTTGATGAGTAAGTACAAGCAAGCATTTTAGTCGAAGTTTATCCGTTCCTTTTACCCTAAGAGGGTTAAAAGCGATATCTATGGGCCCCCCGATGATTTAGTGATGACACCATATGCGCTTGGCCAAGCCTGGACTAAGTTGATGTGTTCAAGTCTATTATCAGTCGTCTTAAATCGGAAATCGGGAAACAACTCATGAACAGAGAGTATGATTAAAATCCATGTCTCAGTTCATACGATATCTAGAATGGAGGAATATATGATCCCTTATCTAAAGGACACGTTGCTGATAAGATCAGAGTTCGACAACGGCTTTTGAAAGCTATGATTGCTAATCATGTTCTAAAGTCGTACTTGAAAAATAGTTATTAGACTTATCCAAGTGGGAGACTGTTGGATTAGGTATCTAAGCCCATAACTATTTTGGTATGTACTTGACCCGATTATGAGCATGGTCCTTTTGGGTTACCTTCACTCATGCAACTTGATAGGATGACAAGAGGAGGGAGAGTAGAATTTATTATATGAATAAAAAATTCATACTCAAAATGATTTTATTAATATATTACAAGATTAATATATTATTGGTAAATCATATTATTTAATTAGTATTGATCATAAATTGATTTGGAATTAATTTTGTGATCAAAAGAGACTAATTAAATAAAGGGGACTGATATTGTAATTATTTGATAGTTGTAATTGGGCTGATGAATTACCTTGGAATAAGGTTGGACGAATTATGTGGGAAGCCCATAAGGAATTCGTCCAAGGGCTATTCTAGAAGGGGTCTATGGGTTGCTTAAGGCCTAGGCCTAAGAAGTCACATTAGGGTTTCCACCTAAAACCCTAGCAGCCACAAGTATAAATAGACCCCATTACAAGGGATTTTCGTCCAAGGCTTTAAGAAACCGTAGAGTGGTCGAAATCCTCCTCTCTCCTACATCATCCTTTGCATAGAGTGTTTGGGACTCCATTAGAGGTGCAACACTTGGGGCACTAGGCTTTCAGAAGTCAAGATCAAGAAGGATTAAACTTGTTATTGCTACATAACAAGAGAGGTAATGATTCTAACCCTAATCATATGTGATTTTCGATTGTTATATGCTAGTCCATAGGGTTATTGCTTTGGTATTCAATGTTGTATGTTCAATTTAGAAAAACCTAGATCAAAGCAATTAGGGTTGCATGTACACCATAGGAATGATGTTATGCTCATAACCCAACAGAGATCACCATGGAAGCATAGTTTCATCTTGGAAGTTTCATTTGCAATCCTTAGCTACATTTCTGGACCAATGTGAGTAATCAAGATCCAAGCTTTATATTTCCTATTTTCTAGATCTAAGGTTTTATGCATATTTATCCAAGATCTTAAGAGTGAGAGTGTTGGGACTCCATAAAGTTGGCAACTTTATAGGTCATTAGGGCCCCTTGATGCTTATATGTCATGGATCTGAAGTTTGAAGGATGTTTGAGTCCATGCTTGAGTAATTACTTCCTTTTCTTCATGAACGACCTAGTTTGAGCTCAAGTCTTGTATTGGACATGCAAGACCTTAAAGCATGGATTTTTATGATCCTAGGAGTGATAGGAAGCCTCCTGAAAAAGATGGAGTAGTGGCTTAATGGATTAAGAAGTTTTTGGATCGAATTGGCACTCGAACGAATCTCACGACGTGCGGAAGATGCATGTCACGTCGTGAGGAGTGTAAGACCCGACTATTTTGTCCTGTAGTGGCTCACGACGTGAGCCATAGATGGTTACGTCGTGAGGGTGTGCTGACTGTTGACTTTCGTTGACCGTTGACCGTTGACTTTTTGACCAAGTTGACTTTCGGTCAAACTTGAGGATTTTGGGCTATTGATTGAGATTCTATCTGGTTTTGGTATTAGTGTATTCGCGGGAACAAGCAATGCTGAAAAAAGGTATTGTATCGTAGTGTTTCAGAGTTCTTTGATGTAGGTGAATTTTCCTCACTGTACTTACGAGTCGAAGGCACCAAGGCCGGCCTATTGGATTGATATCCTGGTTTACCGTATGTTGTTATGCTGTAGTGATCTGTTAAATCTGTATACTGGTAAATAGGATGTTGTTATGTTGTAGTGATCTGTTTGGTCTGTATGACTACCTATATATGCTAGCTATTGATTGTTATGGTATATGGTTATATGTGATGGTATATTGGGTTGAGGCGGTCCTGCTTTGTGCTGAAGGCCAAGATACGCAGGGCGTTCCGGATAGACTGAAGGTCTGCAAGGCGGTCCAGTCAGGCCGAAGGCCCGGAGAGCGGTCTAGATAAGCTGTAGGCCCGGTGCGGCGGTCGAGTCATGCTGAAGGCTCTGAGAGCGGTCCAAATAGTCTGTAGGCCGGTACGGCGGTCCAATCATGCTGAAGGCTCTGTATGCATGTTGTTGTTTGTTATGTTTATGTGGTGGTACTTTGGAGAAACTCACTATGCGTTGGCTTGTAATTTTAGTTTTGTTTTAGGTATTTCTGAGGACCGTGACAAGGCGAAGGCGTGACCGTACACATCATTGGTTTTATGTTGATTGGATATTGGGAGACTCTGATTTTTAATAATGTTTGAAAACAATAATTATGTAAACACTTCTTTTTAGAAAATGGGTTGTTTTGAAAACTTTAAAAATTTATTGAAATTTTTGAGATGTTATATCGGCCCACGAGAGTGGTGAGGTTCTTCATCCGAGCAGTCTGTTAGTGTGTCACAAGGTCGTATCAGGTGGGGTCACAGCCAACCCATACCACCTCTCATTGGTCCAGAATCGAACATTGTCGACCTATCAATATTTTTTGCATATTTAGTCCTTACGATGGCCATTTTCGAGGCACCTGATATTAGTTGGTTTTAGTAGTTGGTATGTCATAGAGATACATGTAATTAACTAAAGCATAATTTTTTTTTTTTTAACCGCTAATTCAAACATCCTTTATAGAGAACATCTTTTCATCAAACTTGTCATACCGGCCGGACCACTAGGTCACAAGCCACAAAATAAGAAGATATAAAACCAATCTATTCTATTAACAAAGATATAAAACCAATCTATTCTATTAACTTAACCTACCATGATCACCACCCGTGAGTGAAGATAAAAGACTCAACTTGATATCTTGAAAGTTATTATAGATTAAAAAAATCCATATTTCTACCCATTCATTCCTCGGGAAAATGATTAAAAAAATTCCCAGTTGTGTGGTTATATTATATCTTAAATTCGAAACAAATTGAAATCACCCTAAATTGAGTTAAAAACTTCAATCCGTGACTCAAAAACATTTGGATATATATTAGTTTATTTATAGCAGGCTACACCATATTTGCCAAAGCAATGCTACATGTGCTACAAGGATATACTCTTGTTTTTGGCCAACGCATACTCTCGTGAGTCATTATTCCTATAATTGATGTGGTCCTAAATAAGAAAAAAAAACACCCATGGATTGAGTAGAACTCGTTCACTTCCACATTCAATGCGAACTAGCTGCAAGCAGCCATGGCAGAACTCTGTGATTTGCAGGTCCATATCAATGGTCAACAAACATTCTATCTCCACGAGGTACCAATTACCATCACTTCTTCTTCTTCTTCTTTTTTAAATCTCTCGGTACCTGATTAGGGTTTCATGCAGAAAACGATATCAAGATTCTCGGGGAAGTTAAGGAAGATCATCAAGAAAGAAAAGAGAAAAACCCAGATCAGAAAAACTGGAATCGAGATCAATGATTTCCCTGGTGGGTCAGATGGGTTTGAACTGTTTTCAAGATTCTGCTACAACAATGGCGAAATCAATATCTCAGTATCCAACGTCTCTCTCCTCCATTGTTGTGCTGTTTTCTTAGCCATGAACGACACTCTCTTGCCCAAAACCACCGAAGTTTTCAACCGGATGTTCGACTGGTCTATGACTGACGTCATCGTCTGTCTCAAGAATTGCGCACCCTTCATCACCTACGCAGATTCTTCCGGTATCATCGAAAAACTCATCTCCACTCTCATCATCAAAATTACCCAAAACTCAGATTCCACCATTTTGTTCCCATCTTCATCTTCTTCATCTTCACCAGACAGTACTGTAAAGTCCAGTACTTTGTTACGACTCTCATCTTGTTCATCTAGCAAAGGTCTATGGTGGTTTGATGATATGGCAATTTTACCCCCAGCCATAATAGAAAGATTTGTAAAAGCCTTAGGTGCTTACGGCATTGAAAACAACAGTCTTGTCGTCACAAGATTCCTCCTCCATTACCTAAAAACCTCATCTCAATCAAAAACTCAATCTTTTTCAAAGTGTGACTATGGTGGTCTTGCAGACACAGCAGTTCATGGGGTGATTCTAATGGGGAAAACTGCATTTTCTTGTAGAGGGTTATTTTGGGTATTAAGAATTGTTTCGAGTTTTGGTTTGAGCAGAGAATGTAGAGGTGGGTTAGAGAGATTGATCGGTGGGGTTCTTGATCAAGCAAAAGTGGATGATTTGCTGGTGAGTAACAATGGATCAAGTGGTGTGTATGATGTGAATCTTGTTTTAAGATTGATAAGAGAGAGTAATAAAGTTGAAGGGGGGTGTTTGGACAGAATGAAAAAAGTTGGGGGGTTAATTGATAAATATTTGGGGGAGATTGCACCAGATCAAAACTTGAAGATATCAAAGTTTTTAGGGGTTGCAGAGAGTCTACCAGATTGTGCAAGAGATTGCTTTGATGGTGTCTACAAAGCCATTGATATATATCTTGAGGTAATTCTTTTAATTACCCACGTTAACTACTCATAATTAACTTACGTGAATAAAACATCTGCAAAAATCTTCTACTTATAAAACAGGAACTCTTTTTTACTATTGTATTGCTTTTAGTTAAAAAAATATTATAATCGTTTAACATTTAGTCAAAAGTATATCTGTGTTCTGTGATACATGGAATTTTGGGATTTTTGTTAGTGTGATGGTTGTCATAAACTCATAATTGTTACAATGATGATGTCCTAATTAAAATATGTATTCTTTTAGAAGATAATAGAGTAATTTTATAAAGTAATTTAAACCTAATTATAGCTTGAACATTATATAAAACAATAATTGAAATGCAATGTCATTATTTATAATTTACATTATAATTGATAACTATTTACATATTAATATTAATATTAATATTCTTTAATATATTCTTGATTTTGTGTTAGTTATATTAATATTAATATTCTTTAATATATTCTTGATTTTGTGTTAGTTAATTGATTGAATCTTGCTATGCATCTGAAAGTCAATAGATGCCTTTGAACGGATGATTATATATAGGGGCTATGAACATGGAGACAAACCACAAACTACAAGAAATATGACAAAATAAGTCTATTTCCTTTTTTTGAGTGTAAAGCCATAAAACACATTAAATCATATTTACATGTTTGTCTTATTTTATCAAAATATAATTATTTGCAATTAAATCACTATATATTCAAGATTCTGTTATAATATATATATATATATATATATATATATATATATATATATATATATATATATATATATATATATATATATTCTTATTATTGGAAATAACTGTTGACATAATTGGGAATTTGGGATACACCAAATTTTTATATTTTGTATTTTATCAACCGTCATTGTATGTTTGACGAATACTTAAATTATTATAAATACTTAATAGAAAAAACAAATTTGTAATTCTATAACAAAAAAATTAAGAATATTATAATAGTAACCTATGCTCAAGGGAAATATTGATTATCGACCCTACCATATTCAATTTTATATTTCCAAGTCATTTGAGGACGTTTTATCTCATCTATCAATATTATTCTCTAGGGATGCATTATTGCCATTTTGGCCCTTTCTTCATCAAATAATAATCTATCAGAATTATAAGATTTGGATTTACAGATAAAACGATATTTTTATCTGTATTTTGTCTATCTATTGCTATGTCATATTCAACACTAGAACATAAAATAGAATATTTGTCTAAACCTCATAAAAGATAAAACTCATATGTATATATAGCTTCTAGTGCTCAGCCGGTTTCATGGACGGCTCAAGCCGCTACCCCCTTTGTTTAAGCCTGTAAAGTATTATCAACTAGTAGTAATGTACGTACTATTGTATATTAATTTATTTTTGCTATTTATATGCTTTAACCACGGGGTAGTAGTTATATTGTAAGATTAATTATTTATTTATATATAAAAAAAAATAGAACGTGAAAAAAGGAATAAAAAAATGATGTGAGAAAGGTGTAGGACGATGCAGGCATGCACTTTGTCTGTGTCAACTAGTAAATGGACCAGAATCCAGTGGACGGCCACATGATTGCTGTGTATGTAGCCTACTGCACCCTATCCCAGCTCAACTCTAAGTACTATTTACCTTTTTTACTTTGGTATCTTTATGATTTTCCACGTGGCCCCACATATCCTTCCAAGGATGACACGGGTGAATATTCTTGTAATATATGATTTTTAACTTTTATTATAACCAAGACAAATTCATTGATTATAACTGTACAGTTTGTTTCATACATCCAAAATGATATTGAATGCGTAAAAATCTATTTCATATATAAGTTTAAACAAAGATTGATTATTGGTTAACCGTGTCTTTATTCTTCAGAATCATGATTTGTGAGGTATTAATTAATTACCGATTGTATATAACAAAAAGAGTTTGAATTCACAGTCGCATCCATGTCTATCGTTGGAAGAAAGATCAAGGCTATGTAGGTGCTTGAACTACGAGAAGCTAAGCTTGGAAGCATGCAAAGACCTAGCCAAAAATCCTAGGATCCCACCAAGAGTAGCAGTCCAAGCGCTTGTTTCACAGCATTCGAACATACCAATTGCATACACCAGCGACCATAATGACTATTCCTACGTAAACGACCATGATCATGACACCCCTTTGACCAAAAGCAGCAGGGAACTCATGGTGCTCTATAACAACAATGGTGCCAAGGACCATCTTCATTATGACTCTGCAGAACATACCTCGAAAAGCAGCTCAAGGTACGACCACAAAGACGTTGATCCTGATGGTGTGGTGAAATTGAACCTGCAAAAGATGCAATGGAGAGTGGTGGAATTGGAGAAGGTTTGCAGGGAGATGAAAGGTCAGATGTCAAAAATGGTTAAGGGTGATCGGCTCATGGTCTCTAGTTCGTCTCATGGTAGACCATTGCCAAGATTGTGTTGAACCTTTGGAGGTTTTACGGTTTATTTTTTGAATCCCCTTTTTTTGTTCTTTTGAAGTGTATAAGCTATATGTTATGAGCGTGATTTTATGTATATTAATTGCTTGAAATATGGGTTTGATCACATGGTTTTCCATTAGGCTTTACGGTACGCATGTCACAATTAAGCTTTATGGTATGCATGCCACGAGCTCCTCTCATGGCTGGTGGACACACTTGCGCACACCATCCCCCGTGCCATGGCCGTGACGTTTTGTGGTGTGTGACACGGGACACAAAGAGCCATTCACCTTTCTTCTTCTCTCTTCCTCTCTTCTCTTCTCTCTTGCAGCCCTCTTCCTCTATCTTCTTCTTCGTTAGGACACCGACGATCACTGTTGTTTTGCTAACCTGGAAGTTCTCCACGCTCCTTGACGTGGGGAGTATATCCTTCGGCCTTATGGGCGTGGTGACGATAAGGATAGTAGATCACGAAGTAAACACTAGCGAGGCAGATGGTTGACGTGCCCAAGCTCATGCGATTTCAAACCCAAAAATGGCACATCACCTCTTTAATGTTTTTACTGTTAATTTTTTTATAAAATTAACCTTATAAATACCCTTACATTTTATAACTTTTCACACAAACATTTCAGTCTTCTATTTTCATAAACATTATACAAACAACTGAAAGATGAAATTTCTTCATCTTCTTCTTTATCATACAATGAGATGCTTTTACCACATTCGTTAAAGTCGTAGGCACCATGTCACACCCCGTCCCTACTTGTACTAATATTTAATTTAACTATGTCATTTAGTAAAAATATCTTTATTACATAAAAAAAATATTACATATAAAATGGTAAACAGGGAATATAAAATACTATGTTAGCAACTTATATCATTTAAACTTATTTATGGAAAACTACTTCATGTGGTCCCTTACTCCTTCTGTCCTGAGATACATACAAGAATACATAAGCTTTTAAGCTTAGTGAGTAACTATGGTTTTGATCATTTAAGAGTAATAATTTATGCATGCTTTAAAACACTTCTTTGAGATCTCATAGTTACATTTAAGTAGGCCAAAACTGCTAAGAGGTTAGCTAACGTCGGGATCCATAAAAGGCTATCCGATAAGTTCCGGTTGCAAATCGGTCCATCATACCATACCCTCGTAAGATGGGTATTTAAATGGCCAAACTTAACATGTATAAAACTTTCATGCTATCTTGATAATATACCATAAACATGCTCTTTAAAACACTAAGCAATTATAAAATACTATAACTAATATACTATAAAACATGCTTTTAAAACATTAAGCAATTAATCATGGCAAAGTAATTTACATCATATTATAGCATGTATGCATCTCATTAAATCACATAAGTACTCACTTTGCTTTAGCTTGAACCTTTATGCTTCTAAAGCCTTCCTTCTACTAATTATTTGTAAATGATTTGGAATGCAGAAAAATGATAATATGGTTTACTATTTATAGATGAATTAGGTTAATTACATATCTTGTTCTTTATGCTTTAGACATGGTACTCTCATAGGAATATGACACATATTGTACTTGTTTCATCTTATCTCCTTAGAATGTTACACATCATTTCCTATAGCCTTCATTAGTCATTTATAGCTTAACTAAAATCTAGACAGCTTATACATCTATGCATATAATCTAGTTATAGGTTTACTTGGTCACCAAGTTATGGACTTCTATGCTTATATGATTTGTTCCTATGTTGTAGAACTTGTAAGCACCTTAGTAAGCATGATATATGCATTTGTAAGCTACTTGTGTGCTTGCTTACTTAGGTTTAACTTTTCTTGCTAATGAAATCTTCTACACTTTTTCTATAACAATCATTTCTAATTAGTTGTTTATGGCTTTCCTTTATGCAAGTGGGTCAAAAAATATACCTTAGTTGTAAAATTCTCCGTTTCTGAAAACAAGGTTGTTACACGCCATTCTCGATCAAGAAGCACAAAGTTTGGATGTCAGAAAGACTGGAGCTATAATAAACAAAGATCATTTAACTACACACGAACTTCTAGTACATGATTACTTTGTCGATGATTGTTTGTGCGAACTCATTTCATTCAAATTACGGTTCCGTTTGACTAGACAAATATACATACATATAGCTAATGATTTGGAAAAGAATTAAAATTTATTTAAATTAAGATGGGATGCGGATGCCACAAATGAATATTTGAATATGTCTGAGAGAACAACACGAAAATATACATATTTGTTTTGTTAATATATTATAGACCTTTACAGCAACATATATTTGCGGAAATCTACAAGAAATAATGTTGAACAATTCTTTGAGGCACATAAAGCAGCACACAGTTTCCTAATAATGCTTAGAACATTGATTGTGCGCATTGGACATAAGAAATTGTCCCTATAAATTATGAGGTAAATTCACTCGAGGTGATCATGGAATCCCGAATATAATGCTAGAAGCAAAGGTGTCACAAGATCTATGATTTTCACACGCGTTCTTTGTTGTTGTACGACCAAACAATGGCATAGACGTTCTTAATGATTTGTCGATATTCAATGATATTTTAACAGGAAAAACACCTAACTTTTTGTTTGTAGTGAATAAAAATCAGTACATGCATGAGTATTAACTTGTTAATAGGATATATCATGAGTATGTATGCTGCATTTTTCAAAGCATGCCTATATCTATGAGATGAAAAACAAAAATTGTTCAAAGTAGCGTAAGAACCGGCAAGGAAGGATGTGGAATGAGCTTTTGGAATCCCTATGAAAAAATGAAACATAGTGAAGCATTAGGCACAAGCATGGGGTCAAGAAAAATTAACCAAGACAATGTATTCTTATATCATATTACATAATATAGAACCACTTGGGTTGTGGTGACTTGGTAAGGCATGTGGAAGATATGGTGGATAACCTATTGACCCATGTTCAAATCCTGGTACTACTCAGCCCTTGTGGCCATGGAGGTTCGCCTGCAGTGACTCCAGGGCATGAGGCAAAGTCTCATGTTTGCAGCGGGGGATTAGTCGGTGCGCGAAAGCTGGCCCGGAAACCCTCGTTAGGGAAGTTCCCTTTCCAAAAAAAAATATAGTACTAAAAGGAAAGGTCGCACTATTTGTATATATAATCTGAACGATGAACTTCTTATAAGTAAACAATTTGTATATGGTATCCCACAATACTTCTTGAGAGTTATAGAAATATGTAGTAAAGATACACAGAAAATAATCAAAAAATATACCTAAGTGTACATGCATCCTAGATCTAGGTTTTACTAGTTATAGCAACGAACGTTAAAAACAACAAGAAAGAACATACTAACCTCTTGATTTCTTGCTTGAGATCATATGAATGCCAGTTATTGCAGTGGACGAAGGATCCAAAGTAGAATCTCTCTAATGAAGTTAGATCCACAAAATCCAAAAGCAAAAAGGAAGAACCCTAGACTAGGATTTAGTCGAATTCTCTAACCCTATGAGAGAGGTTAGAAATTTTGTATAGATGAGAGAGAGAGAGAGAGAGAGAGAGGGAGAGAGAGAGAGATAATGGATGAAAATATGAGGAAGAGCAACTCTAGTGTTTGGCCCCTATCAGTCTATTTAAAGGTTGAAGATAGAATCCTATAATGATTTAAACTCTTAGGTTAATCATTATCTAATTCAAATCATCCTTATCCCTATCCATGGAGCAGTAAAAACAATCCATCTAAATGCTCTAGGAGCTTCTATAATATTCCAATTAATGTCTAAGAATTAATTAAAAAAAATTTAATTAATTACCAAAATAATTTCTAATTAGTTATTAACTCCTTAATAAATTAATAATTTATTTTCTTCATTTCCTTAATGTTATTTGGGTTATGAAGCCAACCCAACAAGACTCTGCTATTATTAGAAATATTACCAAAATAGTTAGGGTAAATGACATAAAAGCCTTTAAGTGTTCACAAAAATGTCGGGTTTACCATTGGATGTGTTTTAGGTCTAGTAAAGTCAGATGTTTTGTTTAATTTATTCATTTATACCATTTTAGCCAATTTCCAGGTAAAACCGTTTACCTAATGCCAGTAAAGCCTTCAAGTTTCAAAAATGTTCGGATTTACCCTTAAGTTATCAAAAATGTTTGAATTTACCCTTACTTTGATTGTTATTTTGATTATTTTGATTATTATTATTATTAATATTATTATTGTTATTATTAATATTATTAATATTAGCATTATTATTATTATTATTATTATTATTATTATATATTTTTAATACATTTTTAAATGTATAAAAATATTTTATACATACACTTTTAAATGTATAAAAATATTTTTAAGAAAATAAATATATTTTTAAAATTGTATATACTTGTATTTAGTATTTATATACATTTGAAAGCATATGTATTCCTTTGAAAATGTATTTATATATTAAAAATTTATTTATTTCTATTTAGTAGGCATAAATATATTTATTTCATATAAAAATATATTGTATTCATATAAATATAAAAAGACATATTTATAAGGTTTATACTGTATAAAAGATATAATTATATGTATTTGTACATATAATTAAGTATAAATATGTGTTTATTTCATATTTATATGCATACGATAGTTTTTATACAAAATAAATACATGTTTATATCTAATAAATAAAAATAAAATATTTTTAAATGTATAAATATGTTTTTAAATGTATAATTACGTTTTTATTTGCATTTAATAGATATATTTATTTGTATTTAATTGTATGAAATAGATATAAGTATGTATTTATTTTGTACAAAAAACTATCATATACATATAAATATGAAATCAATACATATTTATACTTAGTAAGAAAACACCATTTTTTTTGTTGATGAATCACCCAAAGAATTAAAAAAATGTTCCGTTTATATGTATTTTACCATAAAAATATGTGTAAATACATATCATACACACACACAAATATATATATATATATATATATATATATATATATATATATATATATATATATATAAATTAAATACATATTTATACTTTGTAATATGTACAAATACATATAATTATATCTTTTATACAATATAAACCTTATAAATAAATATTTTTTATTTATATGTATACAATATATTTT